GTTTAAAACTAAACATATGGACGTAGTTTGAAATAGTATTTAAGTTTTACCACAGACTGCAGGACTTATTACTTCCAGAGCAAAGCCGAAATTTTATATTTTTATTTAAACATCTGTTAACTAAGTCTGGTTTATAAATAAAGAGTTTCCTAGCAAGACCTGACAACAAATCCTTATACAGGGTGTCCCTTTACTCTCTGGACATATGTATATGGCGTTATTCCTTAGGTCAAGACAAACACATTTCACCATAGGAACATGGGCCTGTGGTGCCTAGTTTACCGACTGTCGGTATTTATGTGTTTTTTACAAAAAAAAAAACCAAAACTAATAACTCCTAAACGCTTTGAGATACAGCGTTGATATTTTGCAAAAATGTTTATCTTATTAAGACCTATTATCGTTAGAAATTATACTAAAAAATCATTAACCGTTTCATAATGGTGGCCATTTAAAATATTTGATGCCAAATTTCACGAAAACCGTTAACTTAACAAACAAATTGCATGAGACAAAAAAGTTTGTAAACTTTATGTAGTTTCCAATGATACCTTATTTGTTAAGATTGGATAAATAATAACAGAGTAACGTGTTGTTTTCGTAATGTATTACCACTTTTCTCCATTTAAACAATGCTAATACTCCTTTTACATTGTCTAAATATCTTTACAATCATCTGTTTAGTCCTGAATGTGAGCAAAATGAATAGTTACACATCAGAGGAGTATTGTGATATGGTAATTGTAAAGATATTTAGACAATGTGAAATCCAATCTTAACAAATAAGGTATCATTAAAAACTACATAAAATTTACAAACTTTTTTGTCTCTTGCAATTTTTTTGTTAAGTTAACGGTTTTCGTGAAATTTGGCATCAAATATTTTAAATGGCCGCCATTTTGAAACGGTTTATGATTTTTTAGTATAATTTCTAACGACAATAGGTCTTAATAAGATAAACATTTTTGCAAAATAACAACGCTGCATCTCAAACCGTTTAGGAGTTATTAGTTTTTTTGTAAAAAACTCATAAATACCAACATTTGGTAATCTAGGCACCACAGACCCATGTTCCTATGGTGAAATGTGTTTGTCTTGACCTAAGGAATAACGCCATATACATATGTCCAGAGAGTAAAGGGACACCCTGTATATAATACGTGAAGGCGATTTCTACGAAACACTACTCCTCCATTAATAATGGACGGATTTTTACAAACGATGTGTCAAAATTAAGTATTTTTTGTGTAGACGCCCCGTTTCACGAATTCATGTAATAATATTCCTCGGGCATTGCCCCACAGGCCATCAAAATACCATTGTATTTCTTATGAAGAAAAGATTTTGTTTACTTAAACAGACAAATAATTTGTAAAAGTGCACTAGTAGTTTGTAAAAGTTGAATTTATTTACCTTGCATCATATTTTACTGAATTATGTAGTTTTGGTTACAGTTTGGTGTGATTAAGTGAATGTTTGAAAGTTATTATTCACAGTGCAGTTACCTGTTTCATTACCATATTATCATGTTATTTACAATGTGTACTTATCAAAATTCTTTTGTAGTGTTTTCTGTTGATTGGTTAACTTTTGTATTTTATCTAAATTTAAAATTAAATGCCACCAGTAAGACGAAGAACTTTGAGTGGCTGGAGGGAACGCAAACATGACCGCTTGCATCAACCTCCCAATTTGACGGATACAGAGTGGCAGTACCGCCGTGGTGATACAATCTCGGACAAATTAACGTTAAATGTTTACATTGTGGTGGCTAAACATTTTAAGCAAGAAAAGACTGGCCGAGACAGTTCAATTTTTACTCTTTGTTGCCATAAACGAAAGGTTCGTTTACCTCATTTGCGGAATTCAACATACCTTCAGGAACTTATTGGAAACTCCCAATCTGAAATCAGGGCTGTGAGGCTTGGATCCAGAAATTATCTGGATAACATTTGTCAATTCAATTCCGCATTTGCCATGGTCAGCTCTGAAGCTCGTTTTGACGAAATAGTCACACAGGGATATACAATTTCAAGATCCATGACATGTTTTACCACCGAGTAGGTAATATAATTCCTCAAGAAGGTCATGATCCTGAATACGCACAGATCTATAAGTACGACATTGGCACTGGAACCCAACAGCGCATGTAAATAATTCAAACAAAAAATGTAATGAACAAATTTGCAGGAAATAGGGTCACAATACCAACCCATTTGCCTAATATTTTAAAACTGTGGCAGAAATTTGTGGGGACCAGAGCTCAGAGGAGTCAAGTTAGATTGTTATATGCATAGTAAGAGACAAAAGAACTGACTTCCCTCGCTACAATGATGCTACCTGTATAGATGTCGCAGCTATTTAAAAGCCGGAAATAGCGCCCCACCTGGCCAAATAAATCTTGGTTTTTTTTATTAAAAAAAACTAATAGTGTTAAAAGAGAACCCGGTCTCCTGTAGATACGTCGTTAAACCCACTCTTATGTTCCCAACCGGAGACTTAGGTTGGAGCACCTAATTTAAACACGCCTAAAACTGAACTTATCGTAAAAACTATTTAACAATGCTATCGTCCGTGTCGAACTGGTTGGCGTCAAGAGTGGGGTATAGCTTGCTACATTAGGTCTGAAAAGCTCACTTTACAGTGTGTGGTTGACATCACACGCACAGAGAGAGGGCAAGAGGGCACCCGCCTACAGTACATAAGAGATAACCAAAGCAGTATGATAACGGATCTATATTCAAATATTGTACCTTATATTACTTTTATAATTTTTTTCACATTACTAAAATCAGTCATAGAAATTACTTTAGAGTGACTCTATGGTTGAGGTTTTGCTGTTAATGTTTTTTGTTCTTCATTATTTTATTACATGTTGCAGTTTTTCTCGATTTCAAGCAACAGGTTATCTAGTTTAAAATTACTAGAGGTCGTCCAGTGGTCGAAAACTTGACAAAAAATAATGTAATGTACAGATTTTTCTATTTTTACCCCACGCTGTAAATAAAACATGTGATCATTGCATAGCAGTATTCCATGTGTCTTGATTTTCTGTTTATATATTATTGTTATTTCGTCACCAGAATGGCAACCCATAAAACCCATGTTATTTTTATTTTTCATTTTTGTGGGCTATTATTTTGAACATGTTTTAATTTATAAAGGCATTCTGCACATCTACAGGAAAATATCTTTCTAACAGTATAAGTAGATTTTCCCTGTGATGCACACGAGCTGGGGAAAAGGTTTTAAAGAAACATCCTTGCCTATTACCATATAGATAATTTAAATTATTACTTATTGATGTCAGTTATACCATATTTGAGTTGTATTATATATATATGTCCGTATTAGAATATCCCAAACAGGTTTTTGACCTAAGGACGATTGTTTCATGGTTAAATTTTTGCCAAATAATGTGTAAGATACCTAATCTAAGTTATCTTAATGTTAATCTGAGTAATCTTTGTAAAGCAATATGAAACAATGAAGATTTTCAGATTCGTGAGTTGGCATAACTTATTACTGGGTGCGATGATGAAAACAAAATTATTTATTACAAGCCATTCAGCCACCAAGAATATTACTTCATAACATACCCTTCCATAACTGACATGTAAGAACAAACTTCCTGTCAGTTACAGAAAATATGAATTCTACCAATCATCTGAAGAGCTCTTCTAGTCTCCTATACTGAGACATAGGGGACCAGGCTAAGTTTAGGACACTCATGTAATGCAGATGCAATTTGGTCTAAGACACGTCGAGCAGAGTGGGTAGGAATACATTCACTACAATAAACTATTTTATGCTTCTACTTATCTTATACGTCTTTCTTAAATATCTTTTAACACAACTTCTCTTTAAAACTTCCATAACACCGCTCTGCTCTCTATGGTTTACAAGAATGTCAAGTTGAACAACGATATAGCATTTATCTGGATTTAAATATGACTTTTATTGTGACTATCAGAATTATCTTAAATATTTGGAAATGATAGTATGTTCTAAATAAAATTAGGTACATACCATACAAAATATTAATATCTCTAGGGAAATCATTAGAAATTAACAACCTTCCACCTTAGACCTTAGACTTTGGCCAAAACAAAACACCAGTAAATGGGTTCATTATACTTAAACCAAAAAAGGTACCTACAATACCAACTCATATTAAGTAGATTTAACTTTAGGGGTGTTTAATATTGTTTCGATATACCTATACTTATTTAGATACTCTTCAAAGTTAAGTATTATACTTATGCATTCCTTTATACCAATACACCCAAACCTTTGACCAACAAGAATCGTTCCTTTGATAAGGCAAACTAAATAATATATTTCTTTTTGCCTTTCATCGTTAGTATTCATAAAAAGCTTCGAAAAGCTTATATGAAACCTCGTTAGATGTCAGCTTAAGCTGGCAAACCAGAGGAACAACTTCACAAACAGCGATGCATCTAAAGGGCCCGATATACCCTAAAATATATACGATTATAACTATTTTATTAAAGGATCAACATAAAAGCGAACCACATTCCACTCACAAAGTAACCACGCCAAACATTGCGTGGCTTGGTGAGTTGTTTGATGACGAAGTTTACTTTACTCGTATAAGTAATTTTCATGTATATTGAAGTCACATTCACTACCAGGTGACACAAGGCATACCATTCAAAAGAGAGTCATGAAGGTAGGTAACGTGTTAAAGTTTAAACATTATAGACAAGCCGCAGCAAACCTGCAGACTAATCCAATTTCCATTTACCTGGATTGGATTTTAATTGAATCTATTTCAATAACATTGGGTCTAAAAACTACCTAGGTTTACAGGGAGGTTAATAAACTGTGTTTTGGTAAAAAATTAACAGCTCGGTATAAACTAATTAGATTTTTCAAAATTTTAAACTTCTTGTACCAGTATTACATATTACATATTACAACTCAGGTAATGACGATAACAACTCATGTGTAAATGAACGTAAACTATTTGTGTTTGCCAATTCGTATTTATATTTCTGTACAATGTAAGTGTGAGTTCAAACCAATCATTTCTTGTTTACATCAACACGAGTGACATATCCTGATATGTTCAGTAATGCCTCACATCAACACTGGACTAAGGTCAATTTCCTGTTAACATTTCCTCCATCAAAACCCCCTTGTGTTGGCCAATTTTCTCTCCCTGGGTTCGTTGTTTGTCTCACACCAACACATCTATGGCTTCTGGTTTCCTGTCCCCTGTAAACCACGCAAGACAAATTAAGTTAAATTGCCAATATGGAATAGTATAACAAACATATTTACGGTACTACGTCATTTTCTATCTTTAAGTTTCTATAAAACTTTTACAAAAAAATACTCTATTACCTTTTCCGTAGCAACAAACCTAGATACTCATTATACTAATGTTATTTTAATAGAGAATAAATCTGATATTTTTTTGGATATATTATATTTTTAACATAATCAGGCAAATGAAAATTCCCTTAGTCTGCAGGTTTGCTGAGTTGGGGTATTATATTGCTACAATTTTTTTACTGTTAAAATTTTGTCAAATTTTTTTAACAAAACTGAAAATGGTAATCAAATAAAACAGTTACAATAATAAAACAAAGGAAACGGAAGTTTGACATAGTTGAATGAAAATGCGTCACTTTAAAATATTTTCCTACGCTTACCTGACAAAGGGTGATTTGTTTGCACTGATTATATCACGCAAAGTAGTTATTTGCTGCATGTACTTACTTTTACCACACTCCTTTTACTTATACGTCACTAATTATTCTTTTTGCCGCACTCCAGTATTCCAAACAAACAACACAAAACTGTATGCTTCTTATTAAACACTTAATACGCTTAGGAAAGCACTTTGGAACACTTAAAGATACTACGACTACAATCAGCCAGTGCAGCGTTTCCAATTTATTTCAACGTTTGAATTTAACCTGGCCTAAAAACGTGTTGTATAGTGTTTGAAAAACAATTATTTATTTGCTTTATGGTAACTGTAGGAATAAATATAATGTGTACCAAATAAGTATGTGTAAAATGTGTAAATATAAGTATAATGTGTTACGTGAGCTAGTGCAAAGCCTTTGCTGCACTCGAGTAAACATATATCTCATTTGCAGTAAAGTGCCACTTTTCTCACTAGCTAAATATATTACTATTGTAAACATAAGAATCGTTGAATAAAACATATCTGTAAATGAAAAAGAAACATAAAATTACATTAAGGGGTTAAGAAAAAAAATTAAAATAAATTACAACAAGTAGTATGTAGTATTTAAACTGACCTGATTAAATGGCACTACTCCATGCTGGTTCAGGTACAGGTACATTAGCCTGTAATATTGAGCTACCATTAAATTACCAATAAAATTATAATCATTTATGAATTGGTTATAAATATATTTTCTTATAGATTTTGTGTATATTAACAATTTTAACTTGAAATAACTTAAATCAGAAATTCGTTTACCTCCGCTGATTTCAATTAATTGATGTTTTAAATTTAGAAGATGGTAACGCACAAAAAGTTGCACTGTCCTGTATCAATAACAATTAATCTTCGTATATTTTATTTCAGGAATTATTAACAAGAATTGTTTAGAATTAGGTGTCTCCAATCATAGTAACATTTTAAAGCAATTGTAACGTATATTTACAATAATAATGTTCAATAATTTTTGAAAAGACGATTTGAAAAAATGACAAATTTAAAACAGATTCTCTACAGATAGGCTAATATTGTACAACTTTTAAATAATTAAAAAGTTACTCAATGGATTGAATAAAATGTATATCTTTCTTAATCCATAAAAAAACTTCCCATCTTAGGTGTTTCCAAATCAAATTTGAAAAGGCTACTTCTTTAAGGCTTGTTCGTAAACAAACGTCCTAATAATAAAATGTCAAGGGTCACATGAGGTATTAAAAAGTCTGTCATGTAATTTAGGAACACTCCTTAATTGTATTTGTTTATATTTATCATCTCTGTATAACCCTGAATAAACGTGGTAAAAACCTTTAGTAGACTAAGGCCCTTCACTTTTTGAGCGAAGTAAGCGAAGCTCTTACATTCCTGTTTTTTCACATACCCCTGAACGGCTGAAGTGAACAGCATGAAATTTAGAAACCTCATAGTAACTAACTATAGGAAGGTATGTACCTGAAATACTACAAAACGGACTAAAGATATATTCTCTAGGCGATTTGTTTTATTGAACATGGATCTTAAGGGTTTATTGGTCGCTATGACATTATTTGCAGGAGAACAATAAAAAGTGAATAAAAGAATGTAACATATGTACGGAAACGAATCATCTAAATTAGCACATACAAAATACAGAACAAAAAAGAAGAACGATTAATTGGATTAATATAGTAATCATACAGTAATTTACTACAAAATGAATAACTATTTAGGCTAATTCACCTTTGACTTTCCAAATAGCCATTTCATTTTAGTAAACCAAATATACCATTGACTTGGGATACTGCAAGTAGACATCGCATTGACTTGGCTCACACCAGAGAGGCCAGTTTCTCTATGGGTTCTCTATGCTGATTCAACTGAATGAACTCGATTCTTTCTTTTTACGATTAGATCTGCCAATAAACCTATGACACTAGGACCTTACATAAAATAATAAGAAAATAATACTTAAAATAATAATACATAAAATAATATTATTTTATTTTTAAATAATATTATTAGAGGTCTGCCAGCCAGACTTGTTATCTTAAAATCAGGTTAAAAAGGTACCTACGGATACTGCAGTAAAAAGATTTCTTTTTAAAGGTATTTTAGCCAAATCGAGCCTAAATTCATCTTATAAAATCTTTTCATGAAAACTATAAAAATGATTTCCTGAACATACTTACATCTTTAATAATTATTTCACCATGCTGTTCCTCATTCTGTAAAATTAAAGAATTAATGTAATAGTAAACCTTTTGAGTCTTATATCGTGTATAATATGAATCTAAAAATAACGAAATGCGTAAAATATTGATCTAATGACATGTATCAGTTGTCAGTATGTTGATATGAGGTGTCAGTTTGTATTTTTTGAAATAAATTGCACTCTTCGTAGCATAATTATGAAAATAAGTTTTAATCGCAATCTGAATTATTCATAATAAATTGTTGATTCGTTTGCCATTTCATTGAAAAGTATTATTACAAGAATACTTTGTTTGTTTATCAAATGTTCGTTTTCATAAACTTACATATGACTTTTAGGCTGTTAATAATGTTTACGTTTACAAGACTTTCTTCTATTATATAATCATTATTTAAGGATAATTATAAATAGACTAATAACCAACTCAAATTGTTACTTACATAATCCTCTTCACGTATCCAGACTCCCTGCGAAGAAAACTTACAATGCATTTAAAAGTAAAAACTTATACACTAGTAAAATTAATTTAAAACATTAATTATTTGTAACATATTTACATTTATTCTGTTATACTAAATTACCCATTAAAATTTTCAAATGTGTAAATATTGCTCTATAGAATACACCCACCCCCACCAAACCTTAAGAGGCGGATTTCTAGTTCTAAATCTATATATTTAATACGCTAGGAATATTTTTGTCATAATTGTTTTGGAGCGGTGGTGCTACCGATCACCATGTCCAAAGTGTCGTTAGAAAGGTCTCTTAGCATGTAGTTTTGCCATCAAACAAAAAAACTTTGGAATTCCATCAGGGCTCTGCACCAGTGGCTTTCAAAGTTCCCATTTCATTCTTAGGGAGAAAATGTTTCTTTACATTTGAACAGATGAATACTTTAAAATTGACACTAATATATGAAACAGCTGGTTATACTAAAATTGGAGACATGTAGATTAGTTGGAAAGATTGTTGTTTCACTTTTTTTAAATCTATCTATATATCTTATCTTACTAATATTATAAATCTGAAAGTTTGTGAGTTTGTGTGTGTGTTTGTTGCTCAATCACGCATAAACTACTGGACGGATTGGGCTGAAATTTGGCATGATGATAGCTCACATTTCCGATTAACATTAAAGCATATTATTATCCCAAAAATCCTTTCGGGCTCCGCCCCAGTGGCTCTGTAGTTCCCCATGTTAACCTTATGGTTTTTCATATTTAAAAGGAATTAATGAATCTTAACAGCTGTTTCAATTAAACAAGTTGGTTCATAACAAAAATAGGATTTTAGAAAAAAATCCGGTTTTGATTTAACATAGTATGTTATAGTCCTTACAGTTTTGATATTTTTTATTTTTTAGAAATTTTCATTTTAAATGGGGATTTTCCATAAAACCCAATAAAATAACGGAAAAATGGGGTTTTCCCACAAATGGCCCCGAACGATTTTGATAGAAATTTAGCATGTGCTAGTCCTTTATATTCTGAACAAAATGGTACAAATCCCATTTTTGGAAAATTACGGCTCAAAAGTTATTGTAAATTATGTCATTTTCCCATAAAACCCCCATAAAATAACAGAAAAATTGGATTTTCCTAAAAATGGCCTGAACGATTTTGATAAAAATTTAGCATGTTATAGTCCTTTAAATTCTGAACAAAATTGTACAAATCCCATTTCCCTATACTTACTCTCAACACTTACACATGATAAAGGTTGTTGACAAACTTATGGGAGAAAGTATGTGTCAGAATGCTGATACCGTTTATTTAATTTATGACAACAGCTAATTTCCAACCAAAAGGTGAGTGAGTGTACGAACTTCAACCTGGAGGCGAGTTAGCGTAGCGAACGAGCTAACCTGAAGGCAAGTGAGCGCAGCCAACGAGCTCCAACCTTAAGGTGAGTGAGCGTAGCGAACGAACTTCAACCAGGACGTGAATGAGCCATGCGCATACTTATGAAGTTAAACGGGGCAAAGCCCGCGGGTACAGCTAGTCTATATATATAATCTATATATATAATACGCTAAGCCGTTTTTTGTGAACAGAACTCCTCCCTCATTTTTGGACCGATTTTGTTGATTAAAGTGTCCAAAGAATTGTCCTGATCTGCAGTTTTGCAAAGTATTTTTCGTTTTTTGATATCTTTATTAGTTTGGGCAGGATCTTCCATCAATGTTGGATTTTCTCCCATAAGATTAACATGGGGGAATCTACATATTTAATTGGAAACGTTGTCTCCACTAATTTGAAAGAACGGCTGGGCGTAGAAACTTGGTAGAGGTGTCCAAAGAAAGGCCTTGGTCTGTAGATGAGTTATCAAAAGAAAAACGAAGTCTTTTAAGATTTAATCTATCTCTAAAATATATATTCTTAAAGTGCACTGAGCAGCAGCCTAAAAAATCTATGTAACTTATCCATATAATATAGTTACAAAATGCTCAAACTCGAATTGTGACATTTATAATTCGGCTTGTATTTCTCCAACAGATAACTCATCTGCAGAAGAATCTTATTGTGCTCTTACTGTGTTTAATAACATCAAAACACAGAAATCTTGCCTAAAATGGTACCTATCTTGACAAATTATTCGCAGTGGCCTATATTACGGACCGTGGCACACTGGGTTGATAACATTATTGAAAAAACACAGCATTTTGGCTGTAAAAATGGTCCAATGAGTAAATACTATTTAAGCAGCTACTGTCATGACAGAAAGGTCATATTCCTTTTAAACTAGATCACATCATCCTTTATAAGGTATACGTTGATTAACAATGCATGTAAACCTCAATATTTATGTAACAGACAATTTACATTATTTTTTGCTATTTGGAAATGCCACATTACTATGCCATTCGCATTATTTGTTGCCAATGAAGCTGCACGACCATATGAATGAGGAGGCCCCTAACAGTTCAAGAATAAAAGTCAACTTCACTTAAAGTTATTATTTATTTTTTAAATCAAGAAACGGAATGTTTTGCTAAATGACATGACCAATGAATGTATGTGTTATTTGGTTAAATAAATGACTTATTGACTTTATTAAGTATATTCCACTACACCTAACATTACATAGAGAGATTATTGACAACTTTATGTAACTGATAAGGCTGAGACAACTAACTGACATCCCCCATTTCAAGGAATTCCAGCTTTAACAGTAACCCCGCAACCAATTTCTCAAAACTGTGCTGGAGGGTTATTCATTGGCATAGAAGTGCGATATAAACTGACGCGACGTGACGAAGGAAAAATCAAACTTACACTGTAATTGATATACTTCCCTTTGAAGTTAGAACGTGTCTTCCCAACAAACTTTTTTTTTTCAAATAAAATCATACATTAATCTGCATTAAACTGATGATCTCACGGAAGTGTTTAACTACAAAAGATTTACCAATAGGATTTTAATACTATTTAAAGGTTCTTCCAAAGGAAGAGATACCAGATAGCGTACTAACAACTCCGATGACATACAGTATGGGAAATATTTTATTCATTGAATTATCAACCATATTTGGTAACTAACGCAATTAATATCATTATTGTTAACACCTATTAATCTTTAAACAATGCTAAATGCTCAAAATATGTATAATTTCACTCAATTTTTCAGTTTGACAAATTAGCGTAAGCCTTGAAATTAACCGTCGATTTTGACTGGTTTCACCTAGTAGTTTTTATTTGCACAAAATCAAAACATAATAAAAATAAAACGTTCGACATAATGGAGACTATAAACGTCGACCAGGACGGCCAATAGGAGGAGGCCGACGAAATTTAACTGGTAGACGCGAACTAAATAGAAATAATACTATTGTCGTTGATAGCCGAATACAGCAAGCACCCTTCCGTGTTGGGTTTTAGTGTGATCTCCAACAGCCGCCTGAAGATTTCACATTCAACTTAGGACTGTTGGATAATCGCTGCATAAGCTGTTGATTTTGGAAGACAAGGAGGCGGGTAGAACTACATCAGAAACAGAAGAGCGGAGATATTAGATGAGTGGGGAATGCGTTGGGAGCAGAGTGTTTTATGTTAACCTTTTAAAGGTTAACGTTCGGACATATACCTAACATCAGTAAGAGACTAAAACAAGATTGGTAGATGGGCCATTATAAAACGCAGTTTGTCACAGGACATGGAACATTTGACGGCGAATTTGTTGAGATTTCACCTGGTGGAATTGGAAGTATGTAGATGTGGAGAAATAAAAACCTCGAGTAAAGTATTTATAAATTGTTTGCTTCGGGAGATAAATAAGAGAGAACAGGAATAAGTCTTGGATAAGAGAGGTCAAGAGATAAGAAAATAAAACATGATGAGTCACAAGGAATCAATTGAGACGTTTAGAAAAGTAGCTAGGGAAATAGGAAAAACCACGGACACATACAGGCTTTTAAATAAAAAAAAAACAAACAAAAAAAACCAGAATGAAAAGGAATGAAAACTTGCCCATGAAGGGAGGAGGAAAGGTTAAAGCGAATCTCAAAGATCCCTATCGCTCAGGGCAGAATGGGGAAGGGAGTCGTGCTGTTATGCTTTTGGACACATAATGTGTCTGGACGAGGACTGAAAGTGGCTGAATCCTCAAAAGAAAGAAGATTCTCACGGGGAATTGGCCTTGCAAATAAGTCCCAGACTTAAGCCAGGGGTGGTGGTGGGGACGAGGAGTTTGCTACAAACATTTACTGTCTTGGTTGAAATGGAATATTTACTATTTGAATTTGGGTTGGCGTAAGAATTATAATGAAAAAAACTAGAGAGCCTAGATAGTTTGATATACTAAAAAGAAAACTGATTTAACACTGTGCTGCATTTTTTAGTATTCATTAAAAGAGCAGATTTGCAAATTATGGAAACTTAGGAAAGTCATAGAACTCCACCAAGGAGAATAAATAGATATAATGTTTTTTTTTTAATTTTTTTTACTTATAATCCTTATTATGGACAAGCTAATGCAGCTATGGTAAGGCTACTTGTAGAAAAGACTATTTACAAGAAATGTTTATTATATCAATCTATTATGTAGGTACATCTTGAGTATTTCCATAATCTTTGAGTCGAATGTCTTAAAGTCATCAGAAATTATGACTGTTATTCGTTTTAAAATAACGCACCTCTAATACTTAGCAATTGCTCGAATTCGAGCATTAGGTACACTTGTTTAATTATTAATAGCACATCTATATATTTAATACACAGTTGTAACACTGTTTTCTCAGTAATTACTGGACCGATCCACAAGATCTATGTGTCAAATTAAAGCGAATGATACATAGATTTGCCGAACTTCATTAGAATTCACGTTTTTTCTAAGGGTTAAGACCTACAGCCCTTCAAAGGTTGAGTCAATACAATTCTTATTGAAGAATATAATTTACAGCTTATTTAATACTGTTGTAAATCATATGTCAGCTGTTTAATGTTTAATAGATTTGTTATTATTTTTATAA